ATATAATTTCTTCCTTAGCCAATCGTTTCAATGCTTACAAATATCTCTCAATATCAAACCAACGAGAGTAAATCAAAAGAGAATAAATTTGGAAAAAAAGTATTCATCTTTCATTCCATAAATTCATCATAATTAAATAATAGTTTTTCATATACCTTTACCTATGTATGTGTAGGCAAGCATGAATTCTTTGAGGGATTTTTTGGTATCTAGAAAACTTTAAAAGGATAAAACGAAGTCTTAATCAGGATTACACCTTCTGGTGACTATTTCATCGGATAGTCTATATCACAAAGAGCCAGCTGAAAAGTAGGAGAAAGGGGCGCTCACATCGTCATGGCTGTACATCTATCCCATCTTAGTACGACCGGACCAGAATGCCACTTTGTCCTGAATATTCGCAAGTCAACAACTTATTGATCGTTCCTCGGCTGGTTTGTCGAAGCAACTTTGGGTGAGGTGGTGGGGGTAATTCTTTGCAAAGAGTGACTCACGGTTAAGACAAAGATTGTACATTCAACGAATTCGAACCCATCTCCTCCACAGTTCCTCACTGTGCCACCACTACCCATGATATCGGTTTCGTTTTCTGGGAATCTGTGTTCTACTGCGGGTAAAATAAATTTGTTTTAAACTAAGTTTGTAGAAGTCAGCCAACAGGTGGGTTAAAGCGAATGTAAACCATTGAGCTCATGCATCAGAGAAAATGGTCAGATATCTCGCATGCTTGAACATGATCACACCAAATCACCGTGCTTTCCCTGTTGCTCCCCGGTCAACGACCAGCTGGCCTCTTTTCGCACGGTTGTGTTAAAGGACTATAGGGTTAATAATTTGCTGATGAAAATTAGCAGTTTATAAGGGAAAGTTGACGCACCTCCTGAAGGTTCAAACATGCACTCTTGTGTGCAATGCAACCTCTTAACCACTGCACAGCTGCCCCGGTCTTCTGCTCATGGTTTAGTGAAAATATTTAAAAATACGTATTGCCTTTTAATTTTTTCCACGAATTTCAATATGCAACAGTGATGTCACTATTAAGTGCAAACGCGTGTAATGATTGCACCCTGATCACGGAACTGATGTGTGCGATGTCAAAGAAATTAAAGAAATTGTGGCGAAGTTCTTTAGCATTTTGGATAGCCTGTTGAAGGTGGGTTCCTAGGAAACGTGTCTTATTAACTGCTGATTTTATTGAGAAAGGAATTCATCCGACTGTGAAGCCAACCAAAACGGGGTAGAAGGTCGTTAACCATGATAGGGGCAGCATGACTTTTTATACAGTAATGCCAAGGTGCGCAAGACCACAGTGATGCGCGCGCTTAATGACGGCAATCCGTCTTCACCTACCTGATAGCTGACTAAATGTCAGCATGAGGTGTAAATGTAAATATAAATTTTAAAATAATTAAAATGATCAGTTACTTTTCACTACTTCTTTTTTTTTGTTCTGAGCCATGAATAGTGCAGAACTGATGCAAAACATTTAATTTAGTTGACTGATTAAAACCGTAGCCGAGGTATTTTGAAATTGCGAGCCTGAGCGGTTAACCGTCATAAATTTCTTCTGGCAAAGACGAATGTGCCTGTTTAAAGATATAACTTGTTTACTTAAATAGTGTTTTTAGACCTGTTTATTAATTACAAAATTTCGCTTTTTCATTTATCATGAATCAAAATTCTTTTCCAACGCTCCTTTCTGGATTTCTGCTCTTCAAGGGACGAGCTATATCAATAATGTTGTCTTTCGAAGGAAGAACAGCTAGTTGTACTTTAGACTGTCTTCGTTTATTAAACAAATGCAATGACTTTGTGCAGTTACTAGTAATAATTTGGTTTGGCAATTTGTCGATTTTTTTGGCAATTTACGTAAACCACCTTCATTAAACTCATAACCAGAGACCGAAGCACGAGCACGAAAACTCCTGTGAGCCTCTTCGGGTTAAGTACGAGAGAGGTTCTTTTTTCAAGTCAGTTTATGCACCTACCTTATTTCCTACAATGCTAAGTAACTTCTGAAACACGGCGATTTGAAATACCCTTAATTGTGAGCCGCTCTATTTTCAGGTGGAGAAATCTTAATTCGATGGTTTTAATATGTGAAGAAAAATCGCACGGATAACTCCCGTAGCAGAGCCGAACCAAGATGGCTAAGTGGCTAACACCAGACGTTCCATTGCGTAAAACATTTAGGCTTGTCGGTCCTCTGAACCCATACTACCGAACTTATTCTAAGGAAAAGAAGAAGCCACTTCAGGCAGCTGCTGCTGCAGCGGAAATGAATAAGAAATGAAGGATCATTTTTTTCTGAAAGTCGTAGTTCGAAAGTGCCAACTATTCAATGATAGACTTTCAATTTCCTCAAGAATATCCGAACTACCCAAACCTCCCAAAGCTACTTGGTTCTTTTATTTATTTCATCCACGTTTGATGAACAGAATGAATCTGTTGAACATTGCTTCTCTTTATGAGATTAATCTTTAAACCATCAATATTGATTTAACCAGTGCCAAATAGAAACTAGTGAAATATAGCACAGAAACGTTTAAGGTAACAGTCCATTATCTGTTTTTTGGTTGTCCTTGTTATGAGCGAATGTTGAACGCAAGCCAACGATCTCTAACACGATCAGCTATCCGCTTACAGTTTCCATTGTTAACAATGTTATCTGACCATCAGATCTTCCCAGAGTGTTCTTAGACGACCGTCTGTACGTTTTTCCAGCGGAACCCAATATTTAATTCTTGGCACCTACAGGCTATCGCTCAGGCAAGCCACTTCATTGGCGCATTTCAAGAGAAATCAAGTCTGTTAATCGAATCTGAGCTTGGATGAGTCCGCTCAGAACGTTTATCCGGAGAGACACGTTGTGCATTTTGCAGTCCATCGCTCTCTGCGTCACCATCAGTTCGTTCTCCTTGGCCACCTTAATAGCAGAATGACAGTCAGGACCGTGGATCATGGCGACAAGTACGACCGAATCCTTCGCCTGCATTGGCAGCTCATTGGCGAGTAGTGATGTATTAAGGCGATTAAAGCCGGTCCGCGTCGCCTTCCTTTTTCTGGTCATTTCCCAAACAAACGAGTTCATGCAGTCCACCTGACGGCCAAGGTGCCCGTATCTGGTGATATCTTCAAGTTCTGCATATTAGCATCGATTGCGGCTTGGAATGGTTAATCCAAAAATGAAATGTTTTTGCAATAGCTGGATCTCCTATTGAAACTCCATCGTGTCCTGTGAAAAGACAGTACCATCATCCACAAATAACAACAGCGCTAGCTGCTCTCCATTAGTAGTGACGCGGTTGCACCAGTTTAGCTGGTTAAAGATTGACTCCAAGTCCGCACTGAAGAGTGTTGCCGAGATAGTGTCTTCTTAGCTCGCACCTCAATTGATACTTATGCGACATGGCTCGTTGAACAACTTGATATTAGTCGTGCAAATAGTGCTCAATTTCATGGTCAGATTGACGTGAACAGGGTGTATGCCAGCTTCACGCAAGGCGTTTAGCTCAGCCGTCACTTGCATAGAATCGAACGTTTTCTTGTAGTCAA